TTTGGGCCTATTCTGAATCTTATTGTCGTGGACGTTAGATTCTCGTTGGAGTTGGTGATATCTCTGAAGCGGAGAGTTAATGAGGAAATAAAATCGATTTCGGAGCGACTTGAATCATCTCTTGGGAAACTATCTACTGTTCCGGAGAGTTTTAGAGAAATCGCAGAATGTGAAAATGAGGTTGGGAAGCTGTCGGAGGAATTGCCGAGTATAAGAAAACATTTGGACGGTTTGAGCCAGAGGGCGGTCTTGATCGAGTCGACTGGCGGGGGAGTTGTAGTAGGTCTTGAAAAGCTGCGAGAATTATGTGGCGCGGTGACGGTTAAAGTAGAGGGTCTTGGATCTATCGTAGAGGATTCTCGAGAGAAGTTAAAGCAGCGGATGGGCGGAAGAATTGATGAATTGGAAGAAATGGCTGAGAGATACGCATCGAGATGGAAGGTGATATCAAGGGTGGTGGAAGATGGGATTTTTTTTGTGTGTGGGTGTAGGCGTTGAAACCGATGGTAGCAGTAGAGGATTCACCGTTTGGGGAGAATGTTGTTGCGGCGGAAAAACAAATGGGAGAATGGCAAAATGACTTTGCCGAGATTCGAACCTTCGCGGGTGAGGTGTGAGGGGGTTTTGTGACTGGTTGTGTATTATGGCGAGCAGATACTCTTCGAAATGATTGCGAGGAATTTGGTTTGCCTCTGCCGGAAGTAGAATTTCGTGGCGCGTGACGATTTTGATAATTCTGTTGTCAGGTTGAGATATATGATTCTCTTGAACGAGAGATATCCAAGGCTGTTTTATCGTGGGAAAATTTCTCCGAGTTCCGGACGATTTTACACGGTTTGGGTGGAGAACTATGGCTTGATTTTCGTCCAAGGATTATAAGACTTGGGGAGTTGATCGACAAATGGCGGGGAAAAGTGAGAAATTTTCCGAGAAAAATTTCGGAAATTTTTGAATTTTCTGAGAGTTTTTCACTAACGCTGAGAGATTTGCATTTATTTCCTGATATGCGGAATTTTGTAATAATCCATTTTTCTGGCTCCGTTTTCTTACACGGTTAAAGTGGGTAATTTTTTCCGTCGTGTATTTAGACTAAATCGTCGGCGTGGTCGTCGGGTGATCGATCCACTTCGGTGGAGTTGTTGTTGATGAAGTATTTTGGAGAGCTCGAGGAGGCTTATCCCGTTATAAAGGCCTGTATGGGGGGAGAGGCGTTTGAGAAAGAGCACTGGAAAGTGGGACGAAATCGATCGCGTGATCGATTTGGTATATTGGAGTCGCAGATACTTTTTTCTCTCATTGGATTACCGAGGGATACGAAATTAGAGAATTTGATGGTTTCGGCGATTATTGGGAATTGCAGAAGTATTTTGGAAAACGAATCGGCGATTAGGAATTTAGCGGCGCGCGCGGTTGGTGAGATCACTCTGAGGGAGGCGATCTCCGAGCTGACCTCGTGGTTTGAGGCGACCCCACTTGAAGTGTCTGAGTATCGGACTTGCGATGGTGAGAGTATTTTTATTATTGGAGAATGGCAGGAATTGTTGAGTGGACTTAGTGAGCAGCAGAGTTTGTGCGCTTCGTTGAAAGATTCGAAATTTTACGGACCGTTTAGAGATCAGGCAGAAAGGGTGGAGGAGAAATTGAACGCGCTGGATGAGATTTTGCATGTTTTTAATAAGTGGGTGAGGGGCTGATGAAATATGGTATGATCAGTGTGAGAGTAT